TACGAGTACAGCACACCGGTTGTGTGTTGGAGAGCAAATCCACAACATTTACAATCTGAGAACCAGCAAGCCGCCTGTCCGTCGCGTGAAAACAATAACAAAAAGAATACGGTGCAATTGTTATCGGCCAAACGTCCCATTGGTGAAAGATGAGACCGCAAATGGCTTACACAGCAGCAACATCGCCCCTCCTCCGCCCCCACCACCACTCCTACGAAAAACTTGGCAGGGCCCTCTTGAAAAAAGAGTCTTGAAAAAGACTTGGGGAGGCTTTTCTGGGGAGGCCGACGTGGGGGCCATTCTGTATGCTTAGATGTACGTGCGTTGAACTTCTTTCGCACCGTACGTAGCCAACCTCGCTCATCAGTGGTGCGGAGTGTGACGAGCGTGTGGGGTCCATCGCCGCTCGTGACGGCGGCGCCCGCGATTGAAGCCGTTCAACGAAACTCTCCCGGGCGCGGCTGTCGATGTTCCTTCTCGTAATTGCAGCCACGCACGTTTTTTTTTAATACCGACGCGCGACCTAAACTGAGCGCGTGTAATTTTAGCTGCCACCAGGCCGTCTGTCCCGTGGCAAAAATAAAAAAAAATGCCAGTGCTTAATTTATACCGAAAATACGTGCCGCATTTAACCAGGGCAGGTGTTGGGAGAAGCTACACGGGCCTATTGATATGCTGCTGGACTTGCCTAACGGGTGTGCGATCTAAAAATAGGCAGAATTTCTCTCTCTCTCTAAAACGTTTCGCGACTATAAAAGAGCCAGACAATGTTACTGGCGTTGGACACGCATCCCTGGTGCTGAAAAACGACCTACAAATTCACCCGATTTGGAAGTTACACCCAGCGAAGTCACCCCCCTCCCTCCTCCTGCGATAAACCTGCCAGGATCCTCGTTCAAAAGAGTCTTGAGGCTCGGTGAGGTTTTCCTTGACAAACAAGTGTACTAATAATGGCATTATTAACCCCTTTCTAAGACATTTGTAAGTTGCAGGGTGGGTGTCCCGTTCACCCCTGAATCGTTAATTTTATTTCGAGAGGCGTAAGTAGCGCCATTGTTTTTAAAGACGTTCGTGCTCACCCCGGAGAACCGTAGCAACACGACCGCCGCACTTTCCGATAGCCGGCGCCAAACTGTGCCCCCCGCCGCATGGCCTTGTGGGAGTCTCGGTAGAAGATGTATTGTACCGGTAAAGTTTTTTTTCCTTCCGACTCCGTTCCCGATGACGTCCCACAATATACGTCGTCGGAAACTTGCAAAGGGTTAAGAAAGCTGTTGAGTTGCCGTCATCTTTATCGGCATCGTCGCCAACCCCTTGAAAGTCGCCGGGAGGGGTTCAGCATCCACCGAACCCGCCGCGCACAGGGGACGTCAACCTGTGTTTGATACATCAATTAAAAATGCCCATTCCTGCCATAGAGATGTGGAATTTCCACCGAGTAACCTCGGAAACCCGCGCCAAGCCCCACCCCCGACGCTGCTCGTAAAGCGGGCGGGGTTTTTGATGTTTGCGGCACGCGTACTTTACGCAAAAATTAATATTTTTTGTCGAAATAATATTCTTTTTGAGAATTCGTTACCGTTTGAGAGGGGGCACGCGGCATATCGCAGCGCGCCGAGGTGTGGCGCGCACACCTCTCGTGCCGGTCTCTGCCAGGGCTGAGGTTGGCGGATCGCCGCAGGCTGGGAGCAGTAGGAGTTACCGCCACCGCGGCCACGCGTGCACAGGCAGGCCCGTGGCGGCCCCCGGCCTCGCTCGTGCCGCCCCCCATCTCGTCGACCCGAGATGGGGTTGGCGCTTGGGCCCTCGCTAGAATACGGCGTCGGCGCACGGCCCGAGACTCTGCGTATCGATGGTTACGCCGCGTACCGCTCGCTCCAAACGCGTGCTGTTGATTCTCAATGTGGAGGGGAAAACCGGATGACCCGGAGAGGAATCCACACGATCACGGGGAGAACATTCAAACTGCAAATATACAGCAGGCGCTAGGGTCGGGATCGAACCCACGACCTCCTGTATACAAGGCGAGGGAGTTAACATCTCCTCGCCACCGTGATGATGATGAGAGAGAGAGAGACACGCAAACTCCAAATATACAGCAGGCACTAGGGTCGGGATCGAACCCACGACCTCCTGTATACAAGGCGAGGGAGTTAACATCTCCTCGCCACCGTGGTGTCGATATGTGGTGGTCACTGACACACTCCGCATATGTGGCCTACACGTGGCGTGTCCGTGACCACCTGCGAAAGTGAGATTTGACGTTGTGTTAAAATCTATACTACATGTTGTTTTAGTACAAATCAGCCCTGCAGATATTTGCGGTGAATATCTTAAAATACCTGTTTGACGAATTTAAACCTCACCAGAGTTTTTATGGCTTTTAATGTTTGGAACAACCCACCCGGGGGGGGGGGGGGGGCGGCGCGTGGTGCATTTTGTTAACAACTTTTTAGAACGTTGTTTTATATATAAATATACTTTTGTTCTTGAGCGTTGTGCGTCTCGTAAAAATGCAGCAATGTTGTTGTTATATGGTCATGGGATTTGGTGGCAACAAAGCCATAAAGCGCGCGCGCACACACGCACAACAAATACGGCAATCGCCGCACCGCGCTGAAGTGAGTTGACGACCGAGAACCTTCGCTCGGCACCGTCGGCAGCTCTCGTTGCCTCGCCAGTGCGTGCATTGCCGTGCCCAGAGTGTGTGAGTGTGTGTGAGTGTGTGAGAGTGAGTGTGTGTGTGCGTGAGAGTGTGTGTCTGTGTGAGAGTGTGTGTGAGAGAGTGTGTGTGTGTGTGCGTGAGAGTGTGTGTCTGTGTGAGAGTGTGTGTGAGTGTGTATGTCTGTGTGAGAGTGTGTGTGAGAGTGCGTGAGAGTGTGTGTCTGTGTGAGAGAATGTGTGAGTGTGTGTCTGTGTGAGAGAGTGTGAGTGTCTGTCTGTGTGAGAGTGTGTGAGTGTGTGTCTCTGTGTGAGTGTGTGAGTGTGTGTGTCTGTGTGAGAGAGTGCGAGTGTGTGTGTCTGTGTGAGGGAGTGTGTGTGCGTGAGAGTGTGTGTCTGTGTGTGAGAGTGTGTGTGTGTGTGAGGCTGGATTGTGTGAGGAGCTCACAAATCCTTGAAAGATTTGGACAAAGTCCCATCGGTGAGCTCCTCCGGCAGGGAAGGCTGCGTTGGCTGGGTCATGTCGCCCGCATGCCCAGCCACCGCATGCCTAAGCACAGCTTTTGTTCGGCCGGATCGAGGGGGCTGAACGGGCGCGGCACGGGCTAGAGAAGAGATGGAGTGATGTGGTACAAGAGGACGTGGAGCTGAGTGGACTTGCCAATGACTGGTACCAGCGGTTTCAAGATCGGCCTCTGTTCGATTCCCGCTCATGGCCAACACCAGTGACGATTATCTTAACCGGTCCTGCCCCCCCCCAGGTCGACTCAGCCTAAAATAAGTACCTGGTGCAGTGTGTAAACATCGTTATTAGGGAGACAAAGGCGGCCGGGCGTGGTGCTGGCCACCCAACCTCCCCCCCCCGTGTACCGTTCCGTCCTTCATTAGCTGCTCGCTAACAGCACTTGCCCCAACAGTCTGCTCTTTCGATACGGGTGATCTTTGTGTGTGCGCGAGAGTGTGTGAGCTTGTGTATGAGCTTGTGTGTGTGTGTGCCATAGGAGGTGGCGGGTGTGGGGGGAAGTATGCTCGCCCCACCAACTCCCACACTGCGCGTGTGTGTGTGTGTAAGCGTGTGTGTGTGTAAGCGTGTGTGTGTGACCGCCACGCCGAGGAGAGAGCTAATTTTATCTGCCACTCCCACCCACCCCCCCCTTGTGCTATTTCAGTCCGGACGCGGTGGTGGTGGTATACAGTGCACAACACGCAGGCACGACGGCTGCCTCTCTCTCTCTCTGCGAGAGCGTTCTGTTTTTTTTTACTTACACGGATGACTTGTACCCCCTCTGCCCTCGCACTTCACCTGCGCGTCTCTCTCCTGCGTCTCTCTCTCCCGTCTCTCTCTCCCGTGTCTCTCTCCCGTGTCTCTCTCTCTCTCCTCCGTCTCGTCCGCGCTGCGCTGTCCACCTCGTTCAGAGCGAAGACGCGCGCGCGCTCGTCCGGCGATTAGCCCCGACACCGAGAGACAAAACTGAGTGGGGAGGGTGATGGTGGTGGTGGTTCTCCCTCTCTCTATCGATCTCGGCCTCCTCGGGCGACGTTCGTAAAGTCGTCGTCGTCGTCATCCTTGAAGCAAGGCGGCAAAGTTTCGTTGCTGCTGCTGCTGCGTTACGACAAGAGCGCTGGGCATGTTGTAACGCGCGCGCGGCTGGCCCTGGATTTTTCTTCGCGGTCATGGGAGGCCTCTTTGAAATGACAACTAAATGACAGCGACGACGACGAGGAGGAGAATAACGGCGACAACATCAACAATCGAGGAGTTTATTATTACTATCATCATCATAATCATAGGTGTCGGATGCTCAGGTGGTGTCGCGGCACCCACCCCCCCCCCCCCGTCTCTTCGCGGCCGCACCGCAGAGAGAGTGGGAGAGCCGCTGTCGCGAGGAAGAAGAAGAAGACGACTCGTGTAGCGCAGCGGTCGTCTCTTCCACGTTGACTTCGTTTGTTTGCCGTCACCGGCTCGCGAGCAACCACCTGACCACCACCACCAACCTGATTTAGCCTGGAGATTCACGTGGTCCGAGACCAAAACGATCCTCCGCCACTGCCGCGTGATTTTCCGCCTTCTTGGGAGAGTTTTTCTATCATTCTGCGTTGTGGTTCTACGACTTCTACGTCTTCTTCTTCGCTCGCCTGCTGACCCGGACGAGGAAATCGTTTCAACCTTCTTGTTGTTGTTTATTTTAGTTTGTTGTTTATTTTTTCGTGAACGTTGACGGGTGGTGGTGGTGGCGGTGCGTGCGTGTTGCTGGACCGCTCTTCAAGACGCAAAGGGGAACACGCGCAGAATTAAAGGCTCGGGCTGAGCGAAGGAGCTGGGGCGGGAGGGAGGTAGGGAGGGAGGAGGAGGAGGACGACTTGAGAGCGTTGCCGACGAAGACGGGCCCCCACCCCCCCACCGGGACCCCACCGTGACCCCACCGATGTTGTCTCTGCTGGGGCCAGGCTCCATGATGCTGCAGACGATTTACGAGTCCGAATCGCATTTCCCTCCAGACGGAGCGTCGGGACGGGAGCAGCCGCTGGACCTCGTGTCTCCGCGCAGGCCCGGCGTCCTCGCGTCCACAGGTGAGGCGCCAGCGAGACACGCAACGCACGTGCACAACAACAACAACCACCACCACCACGACGGCTCGCCATTCGCCACCGAGTGGCGGGGACGTCACCACGACGCTCGTGCCAGGCTATGTGCACTTTTAAGGCCACGTGGAAGTGTCGAACCCCCGCTGCCAGGAGGGGGTCATGGGGCAGACCCAGGTGCCCATGGGTTGGCTGAATCAGATGACTGGCCGATGCACCACGTGTACACACACACACACTTGTACACACACACATGCGCGTGCGCGCATACAAAACAAAGACAAAGATTCCCCACCCTCCCTGGATAGGCTGTAACATGCTGATGGGGCAAGTGCTGTTAGCGAGTAGCACCTACGGAGGCCGGCAGGGCACACGAGGGGGTTGGGTGGCCAGCAACACGCTCCCCGGGCCGCCTTTGTCTCCCCAGTGGCGACGTTTACACACCGCACCAGGTACTCTTTTGAGGCTGAGTCGACCTAGAGGGGGCCCATGACCGGTTCAGATCAATCGTCACCGGTGTTGGCAGTGAGCGGGAATCGAACCCGTGTCGCTGGGTTCAGTGCGCAGCGTAGCGCTAACCGCTACACTACCGCTCCCCACAGACACACGGAGAGACACACACAGACACACACAGAGACACACACACATAGACACACACACAGACACACACACAGAGACACACACACAGAGACACACACAGACACATACACGGAGAGACTCACACACGCACACAGACACACACACAGAGACGCACACAGGCACACACGCACGCGCAACAACACAAGGAGATCGGCACCACCACCGGCTCCCGCACCCAGAGCGGTCGTTTCAGACTGTGCCCGTGGCGGTGTCGTCTCGACGGCTGTTTAGCCAACATGCACCCACACGGGTCCAGCTCGGGACAATGTTTCCCCCCCGCCCCTCTCGTACCCCCCCCCCCCCCGAGGCACGCTGAGAATGATTGATAAGCAGCCTTACATTTTGGGATCTTGGGTATTTCCACGGAGAGCTGAGAGTTATTATAATAATTCACCGCTGCTCCTGCCTTGCCCCCGTGGCTCGCAGAGTCGGCGGTCGTTCGTGTGCACGCATGCACGCGCGGGCTTGTGGTTGCAGCACCGTCGTGATATAAGAATAGGTTTTTCCCTTTGGGGCAATAAAGCAGGTGTGTTAAGATGTTAGCACACCAAACTCAAACCTTTTGCAAGGAATCATGTCTGCATTAACCACATGTGCTCGTGGTGAACATGCAAAAAAAAACATGCTCTGGTAGTATATGATGCGTTGCCTTCGAAGCTGATTGGTCCACACCAGAGACAGCTTTGTTAAGAGCCAAGTCTCAATGTGTTTGACCAGCACGCTCCATTGGCCGCTCATCGTTGGTTGATCGCTCGCAGGGTTTCGCGTCTTCTACGCCCGTCGTGCGTCGCCTCGACCACACTTCGCGCGAAAGAAGTTCAACATACACACACGCGAAGAATCGTTCCGTGGTTCACATATCATCGAAGTGCATTAGTCCGTGGCGTTTACATTTGTTTAGAAAAGGCCAAACCGAAAACAAGTGTGTACGTACGTTTAACATCTTTTGCCCCGTACGGTGTATGTATGTTGTACTTTTTTCGCACCGATCGTAGCCAACCGTGCCAATCGGAGGGGGCGGTGCATGTACGTGTGTTAAACTTCTTTAGCACCGTACGTAGCCAACCGCACTGATCGGAGGTCCCGTCGATCAGGTGCGGCATACGTCGGGTGAAATCGGCGAGTGGTATCTGAATCAGTTCTGGGTCTATGCCCCCACCCCCCGCCACCCGCCCCTCCTTTACCAACCCGCACCAATCGGTGCGGTGAAGTATGGTCAAACAATCCCCATTACTGACACGGCATGGGGAAGCCTTCATCCACGGCTCTAAATCGCTATCGATATCATTATTGTTATGAGCGGCGGCACTTGGATATAGAATGGAATCTCCAGTTGGGACCACTATCCTCGCCCCCCCGACTAACAATTGCTTGCGTCACGTTTCCGTTACTAAAATCGCACTGTAAGTTTCACGGGAAGTGTGCATTTCCAAAGTGTGCGCGCGCACGTTTGCTTACTGGTAAATATTATTCTGCATTCTACACGCCGCGTGCCGAACGAGTGAGCACGTGCGAGGTTTGTCGAGCGATCCGATCCGCGATGCGACGGACGATCTGCGTTGCCACGGAGATGATCGCTTCACCACCTCGGCCGCCCCATGCGTGTTTGAGGGGGGGGGGGGGGCGGGGAACGTGACAAAGGCCCCACTGAGCTGTTATAGTTAATTTTCAGAAGTGACCTGGCCAACACAAATCATAGCCCAACGTGAATGTTTATAGCACCGGCCAAATACTCTAAACGCGTGATGTTGATTCTACATGTGGAGGGAGAAACCGAAGGACCCCGAGAAATGTCCATGCGACCGCGGGGAGAGAGACACCGCAAACTCCAAATATACAGCAGCAGGCGTCAGGGTGGGGATCGAACCCACGTCCTCGTGCATACCAGGCGAGGTAGTTAACATCTCCTAGCCACTGTGATAATGATGATGAGAGAGAGACACCGCAAACTCCAAATATACAGCAGCAGGCGTCAGGGTCTGGATCGAATTCAAGACCTCCTCTATACCAGGCGAGGTAGTTAACATCTCCTAGCCACCGTGGTGATGATGAGAGAGACACCGCAAACTCCAAATATACAGCAGCAGGCGTCAGGGTCGGGGAGGCAGTGCGGAAGGCAGGTTTCTCACAGGCAATTTAAAACCTTCTCTGCTGTGACGGGTGGCCATTCTCCCTGGGCATTCCGCTCTCCCATTCGCGTCCATGCCATGCGTCCAAACAATTCCATTGCAGCTGGGGGCAGGGGCGGAGGGCGGGCCGTCCTGAACGCGTAGAGTTTCGAGACCTTTCCTTTTGCGAACAAAGACACTTTAAACACTTTGCCGTGCGCGCATCATGGCAGTAAAGTTTACGAGGGTAGCGTTTGGGCCCCGGGTATTTTCAAAGCCGACGTAGAGTGGCGAGCAGCAACACCGCTGGACTGTAACCTCGGTAAAGGCGGACTCGGCCCAAAAGTCAAACAGTCGTTATCTTGTTGATACGCCCCTAGTTTGCATGTGTGTCTGTGTGTGCTGAACTTCTTTCGCACCGTACGTAGCCGGCCGTGCTAATCGGAGGAGCGGTGTGTGTAGGTTTGGTGAACTTGTTTCACACCGTACGTGACTAACAATGCTAATCGGAGGTCCAGTGTACGTAGGTAGGTTCAACTTCTTTCGCACCGTACGTAGTCGGAGGTGTAGTGTGTGTACGTTTGGTGAACTTCTTTCATACCATACGTAGCCAACCGTGCTCATTGAATGTGCTCTCTCACACGACTTCCAATCCTCGCGGATGAGCATCACAGACGCTGACGTTATCTGCGGGGCTACGCCGCCGTTACGGCGCTTGAGCGACGTCGATGCCCCACAATCTTGACTGCGGTGTCAGAGTTGGCGATGCCACTTATGGAGTAGTGCTCCGGTGGTGGTGGTGGCGGCGGCGGCGGCGTGACCGTGCGTGGCCTCTGGATTCTCTTTCGCACAACGCGAAGTAGTCACGCTTGGTGCATATCTAGCAGATAGCAGCGGCTATTTGTTTTTTGGGTTTGCGCCGGACTTGTACGATATCGCTCGCAATGAAGAAACCTTGACATGTGGACGGACTAAAATTAAAGCTATAAAACGCAAACTATTTTTATTTCACCAGGTGTAAGGCCCACTGAGCCGTGTTGCTGTTTTTCAGAAGCGGCACGGCTATCGCAAATGATAGCTCAACGAGGTGGCTTATCACGTGGACATTTATAGCAGCCAAATGCTTTAAACGCGTGATGTCGATTCTAAATGTAGAGAGGAGAAACTGGAGGACCCGGAGGAAAATCCACATGACCACGGGGAGAGAGACGCGCAAACTCCAAATTTTCACGGTGTCAAGAGTGGCGATCAATCCCACGACTTCCTGTATACCAGGCGAGGTAGTTAACATCTCCTAGCCACCGTGACTGCACCGTGATACAGATTCTCGACAAGAAGGATAAACCATGACACGAACTCCGACATCCTCGCAGCGGCTTTTGGCTGGCCATCGAACAAAGACGGTCACGGCGTCGCCGATTTCAGATGCGCTTTTGCGGCCGTCTGGAACGCTCTTCTTACTATATTAGTAAGCCACTGGAGCCATGCACTTTTAAATCTAGATTATAAACGCATTACATTATAGAACTACTTTTTGACTTTAGTTTCTTGTCCTTTCCCCCCCCACATCTCCAATTAGTAGAGTCGGCTACGTATGGTGCGATATAAGTTCAACATGCACGTACATCGTGTTGCAAATTACCCGGCACCAACCCGTGGAAAAATCGCGTTTCAGGCCCTCTCGTGAGTGTGCTTCAGATTTCTCCTCCCGACATTCAAATTCCTCACCCCTCCCCTTCCCCCCGCCGCACGAGTGTCATTACTTGTTTTTGTGCTTGCACTCGTTTATCGTTACGCTTCTGCGAAAACGTTTAATTTTTTTTGAGGAAGATGTTTTTTTTCAGCCGAGAAAAGCACTGCGGCTAAATATAAATCTGCACCAGGAAGTCTGGCGGAAGCGAAAAAAAATCGCTCTGCGCAGCGCTTTGCATACGCGGAGGTTCTTTATATAGACGTTCGGCAGCGGCGTTGCAACACTTCGAGGAATGTGCGCACAGCCAAAGTTGTACAATGCACGCACACGCACACACGTATGTATGTTTGTTGAACTTCTTTCGCACCGTACGTAGCCAACCGCGCTATTCGGAGGTGCGGGGGAAGGCCAACAAACTAAATGCAAAAAGAAGTGATAAAGAGATTAGTTTTTACTGTAGATGATTTAAAAGTGCACAGCTCCCAGTGGCTTCCTAGTATCGGAAGGAAGAGAGCGTTCCAGACGGCCGCAGAAGCGCGTGTGAAAGC